TCACTGTGGCGCCTTGTGGCGCGTCTTGCCACTGGCGACCCGGGAACGTGGCCAGCGCAAATGCTACGATGGCGCCCGCCCGAAGTTCGACGCCGAGGCCGGCCGCGATGTAGATGGACAGATGCCATCGGTTCTTTCTCAGGACAAGACCAAGGTACGAGTTTATCCTGTGTTGTCAGTCGTCAAGAGCCTTTGGCCTGGCAGCGGTTGGAGACTGAATTTTTCCCCTCATCCAAAGTGGGTTTCTTGTTTTCTCTGCGCACCCCGCGCAGGAACACTCGCCCCACCCCCTCTCCTCCTCTGCCTTCGCACGCTCACTCGCTCACTCATCATCATCACCACTCACTCACACTCACACTCACTCACACACTCTCATCATCAACATCAGCATCATCACTCGCGCTCTCACACACGCTCAGTCATTCACATACTCATCATCATCATCATCACTCGCACTCGAGGAAGTATCAGGCGGGAGCCTCGTTTGTGAGTGAGTTGTGAGGATGTCTCAGGCGGGAGCCCCCTCCCTATGGGGCCCGCGCTTCATGTTCGAATCCGAGCGGGTCATCCGCAACGTGCAACTGTCGTCACTTTTGGGCTCTTGAGACCTGAATATGGAGGAAGTCTCGAGCGGGAGCCTCGTCTGTGAGTGAATTGTGAGGAAGTCTCAGGCGGGAGCCCCCTCCCTATGGGGCCCGCACTTCATGTTTGAATCCGAGCGGGTCATCCGCAACGTGTAATTGTCGTCACTTTTGGGCTCTTGAGACCAGAATATGGAGGAAGTATCAGGCGGGGGCCTCGTCTGTGAGTGAATTGCGAGGAAGTCTCAGGCGGGAGCCCCCTCCCTATGGGGCCCGCACTTCATGTTCGAATCCGGGCGGGTCATCCGAAACGTGTAACTGTCGTCATTTTTGGGCTCTTGAGACCTGAATATGGAGGAAGTCTCGAGCGGGGGCTTCGTCTGTGAGTGAATTGTGAGGAAGTCTCAGGCGGGAGCCCCCTCCCTATGGGGCCCGCACTTCATGTTCGAATCCTAGCGGGTCCTCCGTAACGCGCAACTCTCACACTTTTGGGGTCTTGAGGCCTGAATATGGAGGAAGTATCAGGCGGGAGCCTCGTCTGTGAGTGAATTGTGAGGAAGTCTCAGGCGGGAGCCCCCTCTCTATGGGGCCCGCAGATCATGTTGGTAATCCGAGCGGGTCATCCGCAACGTGCAACTGTCGTCACTTTTTAGGCTCTTGAGATTTGAATATGGAGGAAGTCTCGGGCGGGAGCCTCGTCTGTGAGTGAATTGTGAGGAAGTCTCAGGCGGGAGCCCCTTCCTTTTATGGGGCCCGCGCTTCATGTTCGAATCCGAGCGGGTCATCCGCAACGTGCAACTGTCGTCACTTTTGGGCTCTTGAGATCTGAATACGGAGGAAGAAGGAAGTCTCGAGCGGGAGCCTCGTCTGCGAGTGAATTGCGAGGAAGTCTCAGGCGGGAGCCCCCTCCCTATGGGGCCCGCATTTCAAGTATGAGTGACTTGCAAGGAAGTCTCAGGCGGGAGCCCCCTCCCTATGGGGCCCGCAGATCATGTTGGTAATCCGAGCGGGTCATCCGAAACGTGTAACTGTCGTCACTTTTGGGCTCTTGAGGCTTGAATATGGAGGACGTATTAGGCGGGGGCCTCGTTCACTTTTGGGCTCGTGAGATTTGAATATGGAGGATGTCTCGAGCGGGAGCCTCGTCTGTGAGTGAATTGCGAGGAAGTCTCAGGCGGGAGCCTCCTCCCTATGGGGCCCGCGCTCCATGTTCGAATCCGAGCGGGTCATCCGAAACGTGTAACTGTCGTCATGTTTGGGCTCTTGAGGCTTGGATCGGACTGAATTGCGAAGAATTATTTGGCGGGGGCCCCCTCCCTATGGGGCCCGCACTTCATGTTCGAATCCGAGCGGGCCATCCGAAACGTGTAACTGTCGTCATGTTTGGGTTTTTGGGGCCTGAATATGGAGGAAGTACTAGGCGGGAGCCTCGCCTGTGAGTGAATTGTGAGGAAGTCTCAGGCGGGAGCCCCCTCCCTATGGGGCCCGCAGTTATGTTCGAATCCGAGCGGGTCATCCGCAACGTGCAACTGTCATCACTTTTGGGCTCATGAGAGCTGAATATGAGTGAATTGCGAGGAAGTCTCAGGCGGGACCTCCCTCCCTATGGGGCCCGCACTTCATGTTCGAATCCGAGCGGGTCATCCGAAACGTGTAACTGTCGTCATGTTTGGGCTCTCGAGGCTTGAATATGGAGGAAGTATTAGGCGGGAGCCTCGTCTACTTTTGGGCTCGTGAGACTTGAATATGGAGGACGTCTTTCGGCACCAGCACGAGAACTTTCGGCTCGGCTACGGCATGGGCATCTACTGGGAAACGCTTGCGAGGTGGATGAACACGCGTGCTCGTCGCGACGCTCGGCGTCTGGGCGCGCCCTCCGTTTTCCTGCAGGCCGTTGACGAGTGCGGCACGATTCAGGGCGATCCCGACGCGGGTCGGCGCCTCCTGAACGTCCCGAACATGCACAAGACGGGGGACATCCACGGCGTCTTGCCGGCCCACGTCGGCATGGAGGTGCGGTTCACGGCAGCGCAGGGAGAGCTGAAGAACAAGTTGGGGCTCGTGCAGGAGCAGCGGGCCACCATCGTGTCTTTCGAATTCCACCACGAGGACGAGCAGCGGTACGAGGAGCGCTCGGCAGGCCAGCTCGTTCGCCCCCGCTTCCTACCGCAGGGAATCTGGCTGCAGGTGCACGGCTTCAAGGAGTCTCCGATCTACCAGGAGGTCGCCGAGGTGCTGCGACAGGGCGCCGAAGACGCCGACGACGACGGCCAGGCCGAGGCGCGGGCGCGGAGTTTGCTGATGTTCAGGCCCAGCGAAAAGGAGTTCACATGGCAGAGCTCGGGGCCGCACAACGTGCGCCGCTCGGGGCTCACCCTGACCCACGCGCCCTACCTGACCTCCACGCTGTCGCAGGGCCTGACGCTGCGCAAGGGCGTCGCCATCGACTGCGCGAGAGACGAGGACGCTGGCCGCACGGGCATGTCTGACGAGCAGCGGTGGCTGCACCTCTACGTCATGCTCTCCCGCGCCACGTGCGTGCGGAACATGCTGATCCTGCGGCCGCCGCCGCGGGAGTTCCTGGAGCGAGGGCCGCCAGCGCCCTTGCGGAAGGCGCCCCTGGAGTTCGACAAGAGAGCGGTTTTGTCCAGGGCGGAGGCGAAGCAGCTCGCGGCAGAGCTGGGCTTCGTGCTGCCCGCCTGAGCGCGGCTGCGCCCCGCTCGAAGCCCGCGGGGTTGTCCCAACGGCTTGGTCTTGTGCGCAAGCGGCTCGCGGGGTTGTCCCGACAGCCTGGCCCGCGGGGTTGTCCCAGCGGCTGCGCGACGTGGCCATTAGAGAACGCGCCTGTGCTGGCCGAGGCGGCGACGGCGCCGAGGAAAACCGACACGCGCGCTCGTGCAATGGAAAGGCGAGGCGGTGGCGGGGCGCGAAAAAAACAGGAGGGCGAGGTCGGGGGCAACGTAGGGAGCGGGGGGGGGGGCCCGCCAGGGCGAGAAGAAATATACGCAGAAGAGACAGTCAGGACGCCTCACCAACCACGAGGACGACGGTGAGTGCTTTTTCCAGATTCGCCCAGAGGATTCTCATGTGGGGTCCTTCCGTCGGAGTAATTGAATTACATGTGGTGGAACGCACGATGTAAGATAGAGTTTCATATCGATGTTTAGATCCACCATTTCTCTTGCATGAGCGTGTTCTTGCCGTATTGTTTCACGCCCTCAGTCTCCGCTTGCGGAGCGAGCGGCCTCCAGGCCCCTCGACTGGACTTGCCTTGACTTGACCTGATTTGACGTGACTTGACTTGAGAGTTTGAGTGAGAAGAGCCGCGTCCTCTCTTTCTCCCCTTCTTTCGGCTTTCCCTCTTCTCCCAAGCGTTCTCCGAGGCGTTCTCCGAGGCCACATTGTGTTTGTCCAGTGTCGTGCGTCGCATGGCACGTTGGACACCGAGCGAGCACCGAGCACCGAGCAGGATGATGAGCAGGAGCAGCAGGCACAGCAGGAGCAGGAGGAGGAGTCGCGGGGGGACAGAAATATGCAGCGCGAGTGGTATTTTGTGGTTTTGCCCTGACCCCCAGAGGTCCCTGGAGGTGCCCGGAGGCGCGAAAAGGCCGAAACGTTATTAATCCGCAAACGTCCGAAATCTTTCATCGAGCCTCGATGAGGGCCGAGGGCAAAACTTGGCAGCGTGAGGAGGAGGGGATGGGGCTTGGGAGCGCGGAGCCACCAAACACCGCAATAAGATGCCGAGCGCTGGGGCCGCAGGGTCGGGTATACAGGGTCAGCCTCTTGGGGCTCTCGCGGGGCTCCGGGGTCCGTAAGAGGACTACTCGCGATGAAATGCTGGCCTTGGGGAAACGTCGGGTATAGCCAGGACCCTGGTCAAGGGAAGCCAGTTCGTGATTGGGCCCCGAAGCCCCAAGTATGGAATGGAATCATTAAACCCGGTCTGCAGTAACTGTTGTTACTTCGTGCAACGGCAGTTCCGATTAGTGGAATGGGGCAGAGTGGGCGTCCCCCAGCGCACATCACTAAACCGGGACCGCGTATTGAAATCGAAGAACAGCGAGAGGCATGAACACAAACTTTTGGCGGTCCGCACGAATATCTTGGATTTACGCTGGGACCCCTTGGCGAGTTCCGCGCGCCAGGGATGGTGCGGGCCCATCAGGGTCCCCCGATCGCCGAACGCGATGTGATAGTAGCGTCTTGCGCGCTTGTGTTTGGCCCCCCGCTAAACCCAAAAAGCCGCGCACCAGAGGTCACTCTTACCCGGGGTCGCTCTTGCGTATAGCCGACATGAATAAGACAGGACATCGCCTGTTTGCTTCCAGGGGCGCGGCGGAGCGGGAGTGGGAAGATAGCCTGGGCGGTGCAACCCCGGGCGGCACATGCTGGGAGAGCGAGAGAGCTCGGCCCCAGGACCTGCCCGAAGCCGTGCGCCTGTTCGAGGTGGCCGCAGACCGGGGGCACGCGGAGGCGTTTGCGCTCTCCTCCTCCTCCTCCTCCTCCTCCTCCGCCTCCTCCTCCTCCCAGCTACCCGCACTTCTCCTCCTCTTCCTCCTCCTCCTCCTCATCACGCGGGCAACTCGGGGCCCACGTTTGAGGGGGGCATCTTCAATTGCTACGTGTGTGTATATATATATATGTGTATGGAGAGATACGTATGGCACTCGATCGGTCGCACATGGCTTACTTCTCTCCAGCGTTTCAGCTGTATGGTCGTTGGGGGCAGCCGTCTTGGCGTGGCTCCGTCGGCATCTTATTTTAATGATCCCATTGGTGCGGTGCGTTTCGTTGCTAATTGTTCACTGCTCTGGAATGATCTAAGTGTGCCTTGGTCATTCCTCCGACCTCGGAGGAGCTGCATTCCTGAACATGGCTGTCTTTGTTCCGTCCCTCGTGGGCCCCTGTGTGCCCACTGCCCTTGTCGCGGGCCCCTGTCGGCTCGTGCTCCGTGTCTCTGTCGGCCCTGGCTTCAAGTCGGCAGTGCCCCTCACTGGTCCGCTCTTGCATCAAGGATCGTCGGGACGTGCCTCGGGGGCAGCATGACTCCGTAGGATACCGTCCTGCCGCCTCGAGGCCCCATCTCCAGGCACGCACCTGGCTTGATCAGGCTCGCCGCTCCAAGTTCCTTTGGCTTTCAGCTCGTTGTCCAACCAAGAGATAAGTTTGGTTCGCAGGATTGCACGCTGCACTTGGGCTATCTCCTCGAGACGTCAGATGGAGCTTGTGGTGGTTGTCTTGTCTCTTGTCTTCCTGCCCTCGTCCTCTCCTTCGCCTTGGCATGCGGTGCGTCTTCGCCGCCGCCATGGCATCCGGAGGACGAGCAGGATGAGCGTGCGTGCGTGCGTGCGTGTGCGTGCGCTCGTGTGCGTGTACCCCCTTTGCGCGCACGCATGTCGTCCGTGTCGGGTCGTGAAGTGCGTGCGCACGCAGCGCACATACCGTCGGCCGCGGCGGCCGCCCCGTTCGTGCCGCCTCATCTCACCGCCACGGCGACCCCAGGCCGCCGCGGAGCTGGCCGTCATGCACCTCACCGGCGAGGCCAGCCGACCGCCCTGGGCTGCTGCGAGGGGTGGGGAGTGCAACGGCCGTTCCTCGATCAGCTTCGCGACCTCTGATTTTCCGATCGGCTCGTGGTGCGAAGGGCCTGCGCGCGAGCTGACGGGCACCGCACAGAGTGAGATGGGTGCCTTCGCAGGACAGGCCGCCGCGGGCTCGCCGGCGGGGCTGGCCGCGCCGCCCGCTCGGAGAGCGACCCGTCCCCCTGCGCCGCTCGCTCCGTCCGCCCCTCTTTCGGCCGCGCACGACCTCGCTCGCTCCTCCTGCATGGTGGCGCACAAGCCGCTCGGACGGCATCCCCGCGCAGGCCTCCCGTCGCCGGCGCAGGCGTCCCCTGCCCTGCCTTGCCGCCGGCGCAACGTGTGTCGCCGCGGGGCCCAGAGTCGGAGGGGGGAGTCGGCTGCACTGCTGCCCTTGAGAGTGGCCCTTCGACGGAGCGACCTTTGTCAGGAGGGGGAAAAACACACAGACACAATGGATCGTCGATTCCCCAGAAAATATGGGAAAATATGGGAAGTGGGGGGGGAGACAAAAACCCAGAAAACATGGCAAAATCCAGGGGGGATATGTTTATTGGTGTGTATTTGTTTGTGTGTCCCAGTTCCCCTTCATTGAGAGTGGCCCTTCGCCGGAGCGACCTCTGGTGCGCGGCTTTCGGGACGCGTCGGGGGCCGGGGCCCAAGCACGCAGGCCTTCTGCGGTCGCGCCGCCTGCGGCGCTCGGCAGGCGCCGCGCCTCTCGGAGGGTCCCTCTCGCCGGGGGTCGCTCCTGCGCGTGGCCGGGGAAGGCGGCGTTTTCGATGCTCGTTTCGGGGACCTTCCTGGAGACCACCCAACGGATCTGTTCGACCCCAGTTCGACTCAAGTCGACTCAGGTTACTGGACTGACGTTCGACGCAGCTTCGACGCACGAGTGGAGCGAGTGGCTCCACGAAGGTCCCCAGAACGAGCATCCACGGCGTTGGGGGAGGCCGAGCGGGAAAGGGTGGGCGGGGTTTCTGACGCTGGGGCGAGGGCGGGATGAGGGAGAGGGCCGGGCGGGAGGGGGACGTAGGGGCGACAGGTTGCAACCAGGGGGGTCGGGCAGCAAAATGAATCAATCCCCCCTCCCCCCCCAGTCTGTTTGTGAAGGGCAGCGCTCGTCAAGGCAGTGCGGCGAACACCGCGCTTCCGAGAAGGCTCGAGTTCTATTGTAAGCCCCTCAGTTGGCCACTTCGATTTCGAACCAGATCTGCGCCGAATGTATCAAGTTGTTGTTCGCGACGCGGCTTGGCGGACAGAGCATACTGCATCTGAGAGGACACGCTTGTTCGCGACACGGCGCGACGGCCACTTGCACGGCACAACACCGCACGATGACGAGCGACCGATTTGCGAATCGTCGCGGAGAGCACAGCGCGGCAGAAGGCCGCTTACAAGCATGAGCCACATAACCCCCCCCTTTGGCAGCACGCATACTGTACAACGACATACATATAGATAAACACCACAAATTACTGCCAGAAAGCATCTAGAGAGCATCTAGAAACCCTCTGCCCCCTCCGTGTCTTGCTTTTTGTTCCCCTCCTTGTGCCTGAAAAGATCCTTACCCACCCCTTCCCCCAAAGGGGAGGGCAAGGATGAGAGTGAAAAGGAACCGTTATCACTAGGACCAGGCTGAGGGAGGACAGAGGAAATGGGGAGCGAAAGGAGGAGGAGGAGGAGGAGGAGGAAGAGGAGGAGGAAGAGGCGTTGGCGGGTCTCCTGGAGAGCCCCCCGCAGGGCACCGACATCGACGAGGAGGGGGCGAGGTTCTGGCTGTCGCAGGCGCTGCGCCAGATGTCAGGAGGAGGAGGAGGAGGAGGAGGAGGAGGAGGAGGAGGAGGAGGAGGAGGGGGCGGAATGAGAGGAGGAAGAAGACGAGGAGGAGCGGTAGCAGCGGCAGCAGCAGGAGGATGAGAGGAGGAGGTGGAGGACGACGGCGAGGAGGAGTAGGAGCAGACGAGGAGCAGGGGCAGGGGCAGGTGGATGGCATGAGGGATCAGGCGGAGAGAGGATGAACATCGGAGGTCTGGAGTCTGATGCCGCAGTGGAACGGAGCCTCCCAGTCGGGAAGTCGGTTTCGGTTCGGTTCGTGCCGTGCGTGGCGAGCGTGCAGGCGGAGTGGTGCTGCGCGAGGGCGGGGCACAGCGGTCCTCCCCTCGGACGCCGGGCGGTGGGGCCCGGGTGTTCCCCCTTGGGTTGTCCCGTAGTTGTCGGCACGGTTTCCTCGTTGTTGTCCCGTGGTCGTCACGTGATCGTCGGGTGGCTGCCCCTTGACTGTGCCGTGGTTGTCCCGCGGTTGTCTTGCTGTTCTGTTGTCTTGTGGCTATCCTGTGGGTGTCCCGTGGTTGCCCCTCGATTGCCCCGCTGTCGTCCCGTGGCTATCCCAGCGGTTGCCCCGTGGTTGTCCTGTGGTTTCCCTGTGGTTGTGATGTGGTGGTCCCTATGGTTGTCCTGTGGGTGCCCCGTGTGTATCCCGTGGTTGTCCCGTGGATGTCCGACTGTTAATCTGTGGTTGTTCTATGGTGGTCCCTTGGTTGTTTTGATCTTGTCCACTGGTTGTCCCGCGGTTGTCCCGTGAGCGTCCCGTGGTTGTCCCGTCGGTGTCTTTTGGTTAACCCGTGGGTGTCTCGCAGTAGATATGTGGTTATCTCGATGGTTGTCCAGTGGTTGTCCTGAGGTTGTCCCGTGATTGTACCGCGGTTGTCCCGTGGTTGTTCCGTGGTTGTTCCGTGGTTGTTCCGTGGTTGTTTTGCGGTCGTCTCGTGATCATCCCATGGTTGTCCCGCTTCCCCCTCTGTCTCTCCCTCATTCTCATCGAGAGAGTGGGGAGACGGAGGGGGACGGAGAGTGGTTTTGCGGAGGAGCTTCTGGCACAGCCGAAGCCGAAACGGCAGCGATTGCCCAATTTGGTGCCTCCGGGCCCTCGCAAAGCGAGGCGGCGAAGAGAATCCTGCACAGGGGACCCCGGGTCTTCTTGGGAGCAGGGGGGAGGAAGAGGTTGCAGAGGAGGAGAGCCCAGGAAGCGGAGGAGGAAAGGGAGGACGAGGAGGGGGAGGATGAGGAGGACGAGGAGGACGAAGAAGAGGGAGGACGAGAAGGACGAGGAGGGAAGGGAGGACGAGGAGGATGAGGAAGAGGGGAGGGGGAGACCCTGAGGTGGGGATCGGAGGTGGCCGAATGTGTCTCCTGGCCCACGGCGCCTGTGGCTTTATGATGTGCGTCCAGCGTCCATAGTGGGTCCTCTGGACCTCGTGGAGGGGTGCCCTGCAGGCTGTGGGGGCGGCCTGTGAAATCCTGGGGACACCCTTGGCCTGACACCCGATTGGCAACCCCCGAGGGGAGGACGCGCACCACGGAGGGAGGGGGAGGAGGAGGAGAAGGAGGAGGAGGGGGAGGAGGAGGAGGGGATAAGGAGAGGGAGGAGGAGGCGGCGATGAAGACGAGCGTCGAGAGCCTTGGACTTTGGACGAGATTATATGCTCGATTTCCAGATGCGGTTGCGGCAGCCGCCGTTCCCGTCGCCACGGCAGCGAGGTTCTGTTCTTTGTCTTCGTCGCCCTCCTCCTCCTACTTCCTGTCCCCCTTGCCATCGTCCCTCCCCTTCTCCCTCCCCCGTCGTCCTTCTCTGCTGTTATCCTCTTCCACCCTGCTCGTTGTCCTCCTTCTCATCATGTTTCCCCCCTTCTCCTCCCTCCCCTCCCTCCCCATCATCATCAGCAGCATCAGTTTTATCATCAACAGTGTCATCATCGTCATCATCTTCTTCATCATCATCATCATCCTCATCATCATCATCATAATCACCATCATCATCAGCATCATCATCATCATCATCATCATCATCATCACCATCATCACCATCATCATCATCATCAGCATCATCATCATCATCGTCGTCCTCGTCCTCGTCCTCATCGTCACCCTCATCCTCATGCTCCTCCTTACTATCGCGCGCTTCGTCCAGGAGGGGCGGCATCCTGCTCCCTCGTGCGGCGCGACTTGGTCCCCGTAGGGGGTCGTTGCGAAACTGCGTGCCGAGCTGCCCCGAGTGCTTGCTCTCTCGGCGGGGACGGGGGCAGAGGTCCGACTCGAGCAGCGCAGCCCCGAGCCCGCAGGCAGACCTGCTCGCGGAGAAGGAGAGGGAGGAGAAAGCGAAGAAGGCGCGCTCCGCTGCCTCCGGTTCGGTGGCACATCTTTCGCGTCGATCAGCGTCGACTCGCGTCTGGGAGTCGATGAGATGACGCCGATGTACATGGCGTCGGCAAGCGTCGATTAACGTCGATGATGTAGCGTCGATTAGCGTCGACCAGCGTCGGCTCTCGTCGATTCGCAAGATCCGACAAGACGGTATGGGAGGCTCCCACGAGTTGCCACCGAAGCGTCCCGATGCCTCTGGTCGGGTGGGTGTGCTTGCGCAGCTGCAGGGGTTGTAATTACAGGCATGTGGTGGACACTTCAGAGGAGACACTCTTTCAGTTTTCGGCGTTCTTTTGGTTCTCGGGACCCTTGTGATTTTCGGCGCCAATTTGGTTTTCGGCGCTCCACTGGTTTTCTGCGCACCCTTTTGGTTTCCGGTGCACTTTCGGTATTCGGCGCCCATTTGGTTTTTCGGCATCATTTTAGTTGTCGATGCTCTTTGGGTGTATGGCGACCCTTTGGTTGTCGGTGCGTTATATTGGTTTGCGGCACCCTTAAGTGTTTCGGCGTCCTTTTCATGTCCGGCGGCCCCTTTGGTTTTCGGCACCATTTTGGGTTTCGGCGTTTTTTTTGTTTTTTTGCGTCTTTTTGGTTTTCTGCGTTGCTATGGTTTTCTGAGCTTTTTTTGGTTTTCGGTGCATCTTTGGTGTTTGGCGTTCCGGTGGTTTTCTGAGCCTTTTGTGGTGTTCGGCGCCTCTTTGTTGTTTGGCGATCTTTTAGTTTTCGGCCCCTTTGGTTTTCGGCGCCCCTTTGCTTTTCGGCGCTTCTTCGGTTTTCGGCTCCCTTTTGGTTGTCGGCGACCTTTTGGTTTTCGGCGCCCCTTTGGTTTTGGCGCTCCGTTCGCTTTCGGCGCCCCTTGGATGTCTGGCGCAGTTTTGGTTTTCGGCGAACCTTCGGTTTTCGGCGCCCTTTCGGTCTTCGGCGTTCCTTCGGATTTCGGCGTGCCGCGGGTTTTCGCACTCGGGTTTCGATGGCGCCCTTTTGGTCTTCGGCGCTCTTTTCTTAGCCAAGTGGAGGGGGGGGGGGGGCTTCCAAGCCTCCCCACCCATTAGCCGAAAAGGGGAGAAGGGGGGGAGCCTTGGCATGGGAGGTCCAAGAGGGGGGGGGGGTAGCTAAGCCTCCCCCCTCCTTTGGTGGCGAGGGGGGGAGGGGGGGGAGGGGTACCTTCCAGAGCGTACCTTCCGAGGGGCGGACCAAAAAAGAGGGGCGGCTTCCGGCAGGGGGAGGTCCAACGGGGGAGGGGCCGCTCAGCCCCCCCCCCCCTGGGGAAGGGAGCTCCTCCTTCCTCCTCCTCCTCCTCCTCCTCCTTCCTCCTCCTTCCTCCTCCTCCTCCTCCCCCTCCTCCTCCCTCTCCTCCTCCTCCTCCTGAGGTGGGGGGTAGCTTCCGGCGGAGCGCGAAAGGGGGGGGGGGGGGCGGGTAGCCGTCGAGGGGCGGGAAAAAGAAGGGGGGGGGGCTTCCAGCAGGGGAGGTCCAACGGGGTGTCGTTTCTGATTCGCCCTGGGGCCCGGCGCAAGCCCCCGGGCCGAAAGTGGCGGGGCGCGGCCCGTGCAAGCGGCGGACGATGGGCCGAGGGGGAAGGATGCAAGGGTAAGCTTGGGAAGTCGCTCACCCTTCCAGTGTCTCCCAGACTCTTCAGTTGGCTCCCGCCTCTCCTCCGCCTGCTGCTTGGGCTCGCGCGCAGGAGCGAGCCGCGACCTCGGAAGCGCTCCAATGGAAAAGGACAGGAATGGGAGGCAGGGGCTCATCCTTGCTGCATACGCGGCTTGACTGAGTTTTCCCCAAGGGTCTGGACCTGGAGGTCTGGAACGCTTCCCCAGGGCCAGCTTCTCGTCATGAGCCGTGCTTCGACGGTCCCGCCTGGGCCCGGCGAGGTTTCCCAGAGGCCGAGAACCAACCAAGACCTGCCGCTCCAACTTCTCTGGGACGTCGGATCGATGGGGAGGGGTGCTCTGGTGGCCTTTGGGGGCCCCCGTGGGAATCCTGAAGGCACCTTGGGCCAGCGCGGTCACCTCCAGCAACACCCGACGGACCCAGAGATCCGAGGTCAAGCTCTTTTCAATGCGGGGTCCCCGGAAGTCTCGACACTTCCCCCTTGCCCGAACCGGTGACCCGAATTTCGGCCACGCTCGCCAGACAGCACAGCTTCTGACCCACTAGGAGGCCAGCTAGATATGTAGGTATGTTGTGATCGTGGTTCTTTGTTGTGCCCGGAGGGCCGTATCCACGGATGAGTTGGTATTCCCCAGGGCTGGTGTTTCACCCGGAGTTGCTTTTTGACGGTCCCAGGGCCCGGCGAGGGCCTCTACGGAGGCCGAAAGCGGCGAAAAAACGCATCGGGGCGGTTCGCGACAGGGGGGTCAGGGGGAGGGGGGAAGGCTTCTTGGATGCACCCCTGCTTCTCAGCAGGCGCTGGGTTCGTCTGTAGATGCAGGACCGGCGCCTTCTGAGAAGCAGAGTGCTTCTAAGAAGCCCCCCCCCCCTCCCCCTGACCCCCCGCGTGCTCGCCGCCAAGCCTCCTCTAGAATCTGGGAGGCACCTTGAACCAGGGGCGCCTCTGTCAGGCGATCGCAAACATGGATCCAGGGGGCGTGGGTTCGCGACGGGTCCCGCTTCCGTTGGAAATCCCGGATTTCCGCCGCCGAGCGAAGCGGCACCGGCCGCATTTTGGGGAGGGCACCTCCCCCGGTCCGTGGATCCATGGATCGCTATTCCATGGATCGATATCCCATCCATGGATCGCGCCACATCCACGGATCGATGTTCCCTGCACCGCGCCACATTCACGGATCGCTATTCCATGCTGGCGCGCCCCCGGCTCTGGCAGCACCTGCTAGGGGCGGCCCGCGAGTGGCGCCTCCGCGCCCCGCCGCGCCGCGTCGCGGCCCGCAGGCCCCCGAGCAGGCGGGGGAGCGGATGTCCCAGTCACTGGCGGCGCGGTGAGCCGCGCCCCGTGGGGCGGTGCCGAGACAAGACGTCCGCGGGGTTCCAGGAAGTCCGCGCGGGTGTCTGGGGTCCGCGCGGAGGAGGGAGGAGGGAGGAGGGAGGAGGGAGGAGGAGGAGGAGGAGGAGGAGGAGGAGGAGGAGGAGGAGGAGGAGGAGGAGGGCGAGGAGGAGGAGGAGGAGGAGGAGGAGGAGGAGGAGGAGGAGGAGGAGGAGGAGGAGGGAGGAGGGAGAAGAGGAGGAGGAGGAGGAGGAGGAGGAGGAGGAGGGCGCATGATGAGGGGAGAGGGCGGCGGCACCCGGGCCGGCGCTGGGCGCTGCGGGGCCGCCGCGGAGATCGGAGGGGGCGACGACGACAACGACGACGACGACGACCCACGACGACCCACGACGACGACGACGACGACGACGCCGACGACGCCGACCCACGACGCACGACGACGACGACGCACGACGACGACGACGACGACGACGACGACGACGACGACGCACGACGACGACGACGACGACGACGACGACGACGACGACGCACGACGACGAGGACGACCACGACGACGACGACGACGACGACGACGACGACGGCGACAACAGCACGACGCACGGCGCACGGCGCACGACGCACGACAACGACGCCGACGCTGGCGCCGACGCCGACGCCGAGGAGGATTGGGGGAAGTGGGTTCGGAGGTTGCCAGAAAGTTTCGCGGCACATGGTCGGTTTCGTGCGTGCGGCCTACTCGAGGATCTCAGGAACATAAACGATGAAGGGCGACCATGCTCCCGTCGCGCGAAGCGCAGCTGCGACTCCTCGTAAAAGTGTTGCGCTTCGTGCCTCCAAGATCACGAGCTTAATGAGAACCAGTGGTCCTCCCGGGGCCCACGCACCTTCAAAAGTTCGCTTGATCCACGCTCCCACGTCTGCGCAGGAGTGCGAAGCGAGCCTTCTTGGATTGGACTTACATGCAGCTCCCGATTGGAGCAGGAGCGGAGAGGGGATGAGGCTGAGGCGGCGTGGAGGCAGGCTGAGGAGGTGGTGGAGGGAGAAGGGGGGGGGAGCGCATGCAGGAGGAGGGAGGAGGAGAGGAGTGACGAGGAGGAGGAGGGGGAGGATGACCAGAGTAAACCAAAGATGCGCCAGCGACGCTGCAATACGAAGACTGTGCGCGGCCCCGGCGAAAGCCCCGTTCTGAAAAGGAGCGCTCTCTATGTTTGGATGGGCTGCAAGCCTTTACGACGAATGTGCGCGGCGCTGAGGCGATAGCCCCGTTTTGAAACAAACGTGTGTTCCATCCGTGCCTAACTCCTGCATGACTTTGAGGCGAATGCGCGCCGCGCTGGGGCGGGAGCTCCATTTAAATGGTCTGAATTCCCCTCTCCCCCCTTCCGTGTAACCGCTGGAAGCTTTCAATGAGAATGTGCGCGCTGCTAGAAGGCGGGAGCTCCATGTCAAGTTCCAGGATCATGAATGATGTAGGGGTGTTTGGTGAAACGTTCCACCCGCCCCACCGGCACGTTTGCGGTGCGGCAGGGAGGGGGGTGAGCAGGAGAAGGAGGAGAAGGAGGAGGAGGAGGAGGAGGAGGAAGAGGAAGCGGAGGGGAGGGGGAGGAGGAGGAGGAAGAGGAGAAGAGGAGGAGGAGGAGGAAGAGGAGGAGGAGGAAGAGGAGGAGGGGTGGCTGGAGCCTCATCAGCCAACACGGGGAGGTGGAGAGGGTTGGATTCGAATGCAGCAGCCTGCGCATTCCCGTTGGTTCCCATCCATGCACGTTCTGTCGACGGGACCCCGTTCGAGCGAGCGCCTTCGGTGATTCTCGAAGCGCAGCTGGGCGCTACACTGTCCTCATGCATTTTTGCGTTATCTGGGCTATCCGCCCAGCCACACGTTGGACCGAGGCGGATGCCGCGGGGGCGTGCAGGCGCCGGCTGCGGCCTGGTTGCAACCGCATGGCATCCGTGCGCCCAGGAGCGCAGCATGCTACGACGGCGATCGGGTCCGAGATGCGCCCGGACAGGGCCAGACACTGAACGCACGACGAGTCCACAAGGGCCGATCCTCGGCGACGGCGCTTTCCTGGATCTGGATCCTCGACCCTCGGATCCTGGATCCTCCATCCTCGGATCCTCGGATCCTCGAGCCTCGGACCCTCGACCCTCGGACCCTCGACCCTCGGAGCACGCCGCGAGGCAGCCCGCGGCCTGTGGCGGGGCAGCGCCCGCCTCCCGCCCGTGCAGCGAGCGGGGGAGGCCCCCTCGGAGGCCCCCCCCTGGGCGCCCCCCCCCCCCCCCCCCCCCCCGGGGGCCCGCGCGCGGCCGCGGGGGGGGCCCGCCCCCCCCAAGCGGCGGCGGGCCCGCCGCGATGGTGCTGCTCACGGCGATCGGCCTCGCCTCCAAGGAGCTCTTCGACTACAACCGGGAGAACTTCAAGTTCGACCAGGAGGGGCGCCCTGCCTCCTCCTCCCTCCCTCCCCTCCCTCTCTCCCTCCCCCCCCTCCTTCCCTCCCCCCCTTCCCCCCCCCCCCCCCTCCCTCCCTCCTCCGCCCCCGCCCCCCCCCCTCTCCGTCGTCATGATGTGTTGGCCTCCTCGTCCTCCTCTTCCTCCCTCCTCCCCGTTCTCCTCATCCTCCGTTGCTCGGTTATGCTCGGTGATACAGAAGGCACAAGTCGTAACAAGCTCAACCAGGCCCAATCATCGCCAGTCCACAAGGGGTCGACAGCGGTTTTGACGACAAACTCATTCTCCCATCCTCCTCCTCCTCCTCCTCCTCCTCCTCCTCCTCCTCCTCCTCCTCCTCCTCCCCCTCCTCCTCCTCTCCTCCTCCTGCTCCTCCTCCTCTCCTCTTCCTCCTCGTGCTCCACCTCCTCCTATGTCCTCAGCCATCCTCCTCATTCTTCTTTTTGCATCGACCTCCTCCCTCCTGCGCCATCTTGCTCTCTCTCTCTCTCTCTCTCTCCGCGCTCCCACCCGCTGCTCCCTCCGGGCTTCACCCCTCCCCCTCCGTCCTCCCGTTCTGCCCATCCTTCCTGCACCCTTCTCCGCCCACCACACTCCTTCCCAGAGATCAGACGCTCCAGAAAATTGAAAAATTGAAGCGGCCGTTTCCTGCCTCGGGGCCCTCGCCGGGCCTTGGGACCGTCAAACAACGGCTCAGGACGAAGCACCGGCCCTCGGGAAGGGGTCCAGACCTCAAGGTCCCACGCATCGAAAAGGTTGGAGCGGCGGGTTGTATGGGTTCTCCCATCCAAGGGGGGGGGGAGTTCGTCTCCTAATCACCCTCTCCTCCTCCCCCTCCTCATCCTCACCCTCTTCCAGATCCTCCTGCTCCCCGTCCTCGCCCTCATCCATCCCTGCCAGGTGGCTCCCTCTCCTTTCCACCGACTTGCTCCACCTCCTCCTCCCTCTCCCTTCTCCTCTATGCTGGAAATGTGAGAGTGGTGGGAACGCTCCCTCGTGCATCACATTCTGCCTTCGGCTTGTGGCATATGTGAAACGCTGTCGCGCTGCCGAGGCCCGTGCGCCCGAACTCATTCGGCACGGTCGCACCCTCTACCTCCTGCTTCGTCCTCTTCCTCCCTTCTCACCGCTCCCCAGCAGCAGCAGGTGCAGGTGCAGGTGCAGGTGCAGCAGCAGCAGCAGCAGCAGCAGCAGCAGCATGAGGAGGAGGAGGAGGAGGAGGAGGAGGAGGAGGAGGAGGAGGAGGAGGGAAGCGGGGAGGCAGGATCACCGTGCCGCCGCTGCCGATGTGTTCGGTCTGGCCCGATGCGGTTCAGTTCGATGCCGCCGGCGAGCTTGACCCACGATGGCCGAGACGCCAAAGGAGGCGGAGGCGAAGGAGGGGGAGCTGGAGAAGGGGCAGGGCCTCTTCACCCGCCTTCAGTCCTCGTCCCATCCCTTGGCATCGCTCGGATGTGTGCATCTTTTCCTTTGGCGAGGACCATCGAGGAGCATCCTTGATCATTGGGCGGAAAAACCACGCACGAAACCGACAAAAACACGGGGAATGGACGTCCGAGCGATGGCCAGATCCCGCCTCCGTCCCCTCCCTTCCCCCCCCCTGGGGAGTCAGGAGCAGCGGCTGGAGCGGGACATGCAGCGCGTGGAAATGCAGATCAAGCGGTTCGACCTCTTCCGGGAAGACATCGAGGATTTGGTGAACCTCACGGTCCACAGGAGGGGGAGGACGAGGAGGAGGAGGACGACGAGGACGCGGACAAGGAGGGAGGGTGAGGACAGGGGCGTCGAAGGCTTCCGGATTTTTCCATAGAGTCTCGGAAGTCTCAGACTTTCCGAGGTTCTCGGCGGATTTCGGAAGATTCCTTCATATCCCGATCGACTTCGAGCTTAAAGTTGTCGTCTTGCCGATTTTGTATTAGCATATTGGCTTTGTTCGCCTTGCTGCGTGGCTGAGGTATTAGTCGCACGTTGTTGCTGATGCATTACCTCATGAGTCTGCCTTGCGTGTGTCATGCATGCCCATTCGTTGTCTGAACTATTATCGTCTCCATGCTTCTTGCCCTCTCCTGTCCATTTCTCTGCACTTCCGCGTCTCTCATATCATTGTGCCACTGTTCGCTGACGACGCGCGTCTTCGAAACTGCTTTTATGAACCTTGCCCTGGAGGTCAGAAAGATGGATATGTACCACCTGGTTGCCTCCCTATTTTTAGGCTTTGGTGCGATCATTTATACTGAGGGCCGTTACGAGTTCGAGACTCCGAAGCCGACCTTCTTCTTGAAGATTTACTTCTTGTCGGTGACCTGGACACGATGATCTTGCAGCCGCGAGCTCCCAACAGGAATATGTTTGATGTTTGATGTTTGATGTTGTGTGTCCGTCGGGGATATCGTTGAGCATGTCGCGGCCCTAGAAGAGCAGCACGACATAATGAAGCCGACTCTGGTCTTCACAGAAGGCAGCGTCCGCTGGGGCAGAGCCGTTCTCCCCACCGCCACCTCCTCCGCCACCTGCACAGCCCCGTCCGTGTCCTTCTCACCCTCTTCGGCC